CCGCTCTGTCAGGAAGTTCTTCCTGATGTTCAGCTGAAAACTCTTGATTTAATTTCAGTCTGTTGGTTCTGATTTTCTGGGGCAACAGGAAACAACTGCTCTCCATCCTTTATATGACAGTGCTTCCGGTACTTGAAGATGGCTATCGTATCACTTCTCAGTCGTTTCCTCTCCCGGCTAAACATACCCAGCTCCTTCAGCCTTTCCTCATAGGACTTGGTCTCCAGGCCCCTCATCATATTTGTTACCCTTCTCTGGACACGTTCCAGCATATCAATATCCCTCTTAAACTGTGGTGCCCCAAACTGAACACAGTACTCCAAGTGAGGTCTAACCACACCTCATTTTAGGCTGCTGTGTTTTAAGTGCTTTTATACTCTGGTTTGCTTTTATGAGGAGCTGCGGTGGCTCAAGTGGTTAGGACGCTGAACTGCAGGCCGTGGAAGGTCGGTAGTTCAGCAGTTTGAGACCCGAGTGTGCCGCATGATGGAGTGAGCTCCCGTCTCTAGTTCCAGCTCCTGCCAACCTAGCAGTTCGAAAGCAAGAAATTGCAAGTAGATAAATAGATACCACTTCAGTGGGAAGGTAACAGCGTTCCGTGCGCCTTGGTGTTTAGTCATGCCGGCCACATGACCACGGAAATGTCTTTGGACAGCGCTGGCTCTTCGGCTTGGAAACGGAGATGAGCACCGCAACCCTCGACTGGCTTTCGAGCAAGGGAACCTTTACCTTTTACCTTGCTTTTATGGGCTGTTATTATTGGTATGGTTTCAATTGACATTATTGATTTTGTTTGCATTTTTATGGATTGGTTTGTATTTACCATTTTAATTGTGAGCCACATCAAGCAGGTTTGGGATAGGTGTCATGCACATCTTCAAATAAATAAAACCCAAAATGCTGTGTCCATGGGGTTCCAGGATTTCTGCCATTCAGGCACTAACCTGATCCAGCCTGTTTAGCTGTTTAGCGGGCTTGCCGCGTTATTTGCCTTCTGATCATTCTCTGGGGATTGCCGTGCAAGCATAGAATCAAGTACTTCGCACAGAGTTTTGCATCCTATAGAACCTGGCTTCCTTTTCTTTGACAAGTCTCTAGCCATTATGGTTGGGATATTAATCTATAAAATGTATTGTTGCAGAATTGTGAAACGGCAGAAACCAAAGAAAGGACTGAACTCAAGTTCCATTATCAGTCAGGAGATGGATGGGGTGGTGCAGGCTGATTGTGGACACTGATCACAGTTTTTTCTTTCATGATAATGCTCTACAGCCTCTATAGCACAGCCTCTTCTTCTTTTGACCTTTCCCAGATCGTGCCAAAAAGAATTCCAAATTAATAACATGGATCTCAGAAGCAGAATAAGTAGACATTTTTTATCATTCTCATCTTATTTTTGAAAACAGAGGTTGAGTTTCATGGATAGCAAGAATGCATTCTGGAGGGGAAAAAGAATTTATGCATCGGTGCAGAGTTGGGGAAGAGCATACCAGGATAGGGTTAGGAGAACTCTGTCAGCAGAGAGAGAAATACACCATGAACTGTTCAAGGTAAAACAGATGCTGCTTATATTAAGCATTAGCTGCCTTTTGGCCAAGGAATTCATTATCTTTCTCTCTCTCTCTCTCTGTCCTATACATACCGTACCTGGTGGTAGTATCAGGTATAATGTCTCCTTCATTCACTTTGCCAGATCTGCCATCTATGCCAACCGCCTGTACCTGAGCTGCTACAATCAGTGCCATCCAGAGAGACTTGCCCAGAACCATCCAGATGGGTCCACTATCCGAGGTATTGGCTCCCCTCCCACACACTGTCAGAGCCCCACAGCAATCAATTCTCAACAATGTTCCTTCAGAGAGGTTCAAGTTTATTGAGTATGGTAAAGGCAGGTCATCTGTACATACACTCTGTGTCAGAATTGATTGCAAGTGCGCGAAATGGGGAGTTATACAAAAGTCAAATGGGTCCCCCTGATGGGTCTGAGCCAATCAGGGAATAAGCTAAAACCCACCTAAGCTAATGGGTTTGCATTCACAGCGAAAGCAGCAGCAAGGTACCAAGGTCACCAGCCTAAGCGAGCAGATCAGATGAGACAGGAGGAAACGAAAGCTAAGATTCCATTACAGTAACAGACTATCCATCAGCTTCTCCCCCCTCCACCAGCTATGACAGCGACCTAGCTGACATTCTGCCCCCCAAAGACCCACACACACCAGGCTTCCCAGGGTACATTTTGTGAAAAGCACGAATCAGTTTAGGCGCATTGACATAGCATTCATCAACCCATTCATTGTGTGAGAGGTCAAAGTCTTTCCATTGGACAAGATACAACACATGACCACGTTTGAGTTTCGAGTCCAATATCTGTGCGACTTCCTGACGGCGTTCACCATTCACCATCAGTGGAGGAGGGGCTGGAGGTCGAGGTCTCCATGTATTTGGCCCCAGATCCTGCTGCAGCAGGCTGAAATGAAAAATGGGATGCACGCCTTCAAGAGATTTAGACAATTCAAGTTCAACAGTCACCTCATTGATTTTGCGTAGCACTTTAAAAGGCCAGACATATCTCCAGCCCAACTTCCTGCTAGGCTGGAGACCCTTTAAGTTCTTGGTAGACAAGTACACTGTATCTCCAGGTTGTATGTTCCATTCCGGGGCTCTGCCCTTGTCAACCTGAGCCTTATAGTCTGCCTTTGCTTTATTCAAAGTCTTTGGATCTCGGGCCAGTGCTCCCGTAGTCCTTGCCACCAAATTTGGAGATTCCCTGGGGGGGGGGGTTAGGAGCCCCCACCGTGAGGAGCCCCCCCCCCCATAGCCATATAAAGCCTTGAAACGGGATAGTCCCGTGGAACTATGAACGGAATTATTATAACTGTATTCCGCATAAGGCAACAAATCAGCCCAGTCGTCCTGTTGCTAATTGGTAAATCATCTAAGACATTGTTCTACCACCTGATTGACCCGTTCGGTCTGGCCGTGTGTCTCTAGGTGGTAGGCACTGCTGAGGCCCTGCTCAATATCCGACACCTGCATGAGTTCTTTCCAGAAAGTAGCAACGAACTGGGTTCCTCTGTCTGATATTATCTTAGATGATACCGAATGCAATTTCACAATGTGATGCATAAACATCTTAGCAAGGGCTTTGGTGGTGGTCTGTACGACTTCCCGCACCAATCTCACAAGGGACTCCTTATCTTGAGAACATAAAAGGATACCATCAAGAGAAACCAAAGCCCCATTGAACAAATGCTTTTTCAACACATCATTGATTAAGTTCATGAACACCCCAGGGGTTCCTTGCAACCCGAAAGGCATCACCAGGTATTCAGACTGTCCCAATGGTGTATTGAAAGCTGTTTTAAACTCATCCCCCTCTTGGATGTGCACTCGGAGGTACACGTCCCTTAAATCCAACTTAGTGAATATTTTCCCCTTTGTGGCCTTTGCTAGGAGGTCTTTCATCAGGGGCAAGGGATAAGCGTTCGTGGCAGACACCGCATTCAGCCCCCGATAGTCTGTGCATAGTCTCAAGCCCCCGTCCTCCTCCTTCCGGAAGAGAACGGGAGCCACAAATAGAGAGGAGGCAGGGCGGATGAAACCCCAAGGCACGTTTTTGTCGATGAACTTCCGCAACTCAGGAGCCCTGAGCCAAGGGCTCCCTAGTACCATAGAGAAGCGGGCCATAGGGTTGATGACGAACGCATGCTGCTCCCGCATGGTAAAGCCATCCATCAATGGCTCGGGCAACCTTTGCACCGGGATCCCCAACCCTGTAACTATGGACGGGCTTATTAAGTCTCTGGCACACCCCGAGTCTATAAGTGCTCGTACGTGCCCTTGGGTTCCCATCTCTGGTCACGGACACAGTCACAAAAAATAGAGGGGGGTTGCTGCTGCTCACCAATTGTGGCGCAGATTGCTCTCGGACCTGCTGCTTTGCACCTTTCACAGCAGGTCCCGGCCTTTTCCTGCCGGCTGGGGGTTCCGTCTCAACCAGAGGAAGTGCCATCGGAAGGGGTGCCTAGCTGGAGGGCTCGGGGTTTCTTCAGGCACGCTCCTCCGCCCTTCATGGGGGTCTCTGCAGTCTTCTGCTCCGGTGCTTTGGCCCCAAGGGGTGTGATAACCGTGGGGCAGAAGGCGGCATAGTGGTCCGGCTCTCCACAGCACAGGCAGAGCCCTTGGCGCAGCTGTTGATCACGTAGAGGCTCTTTCAGCTTGGGGCACGGGGTCTTCACTCCTCCGCCTCCTGCTTAGGGGTGTGCATCCGGATCATCTGGAGGCGGTTCTCGGCATCCCCAGCTTCTCTCACCCAGGCGGCCAATGTCACGGGATTCACGCTGCGAAGCACGGTCTCCAGGATCTGGTGGTTCAGCCCTAAACGATACTGTTCCACAAGTATGGCTTCGGGCCATCCCTCAATCTTAGCCGCATACATCTTGAACTCGTTGGAGTACTCTCGCACTGACCGAGTTCCTTGCTTCAGAGCTCTCAGGCTGGCGCTTCCATAGGATCCTTGTGTTGCCTTCGCAAGGCCCACATGACCGCTTGCACTTCCTAGAGCTCAGGACCTCACAAGTTGTGCAGCCCAACATACCAGTCAGCCGCACATTCTCTGTGGTGCAACCCAATGTAATCCACTCGTCTGACGGGAAGGTGTGACCCCCAATACCGAAGGAACTTGCGCACTTGCAGCAGGAAGAAGGCGAGCTTCTCGGGGTTGCCATCAAACGTAGCATCCGGCAGGGCGGGTGGAATGGCTGGTCCTGCAGGTTGCTGCCCAGGCGGGGCAGCCGGGCTGCCCAGCCAGCCCCGCGAGGACTGGTTGCTGTGCAGGAGGCTGCTGCTGTCCTGGGGGTACCTGGCCACCTGGGGGAGCTGCTGGCACGGCAGGGCGCTGCAGCCACAGCTTGTACTGTAGTAGCGATGAGTCAGGGCAGGTCGAGCATCATGTCCTGCATCTCTCTTTGCATCTCCTCTTGTTGGGCTTGCAGCTGGCATTTCACACATTCCAGCTGGTCTTCGGCCCCACCGCCATACCTCCCTAAATCCCACTCATTCTCCACGGGGGGAAAGTAATCATACCGGCTGGGGCCCTTCAGCCGAGGGGTGGTTACCCACAACTCCCGAGTCGGGGTGGAGAAGTGGGCCCATGAGTACAGGTCCCACCAGGGCTTCTCCCGGCCGAGTTCATCTTCCCCAACACATGCCCCTGTGGTGGTAACAGTCCCCGTTGTAGTGGGGGCCTCTTCTGCAGTGGTAGCTGGAACACCCCCATCTTCCTCGTCACTCATGGTAAGGTACAGGGTCAGGGATTATAAGAGTTCTGACACTCTGTCAGAGTCCCGCAGCAATCAGTTCTCAACAACATTCCTTCAGAAAGATTCAAGTTTATTGAGGCAGTAAAGGCAGGTTATCTGTACATACACTGTCAGAACTGATTGCAAGTGCGCGAAATGGGGAGTTATACAAAAGTCAAATGGGTCCCCCTGATGGGTCTGAGCCAATCAGGGAATAAGCTAAAACCCGCCTAAGCTAACGGGTTTGCATTCCCAGCGAAAGCAGCAGCAAGGTACCAAGGTCACCGGCCTAAGGGAGCAGATCAGACGAGACAGGAAGAAACGAAAGCTAAGATTCCATTACAGCAACGGACTATCCATCAGCTTCTCCCCCCTCTAGCGACCTAGCTGACACACATACACATGAGACACATTCTGTTTGTTGGACAAGACACGCAATTCGTGCACCAAAATAAAACGGAACAATCCATCCCTCTTGCAACATATCAACTGGAATGCTGATGCCAGAACCCAGATTTTTGGCTCAGTTTTCAGGGATCTTGCTTGTCAATTTTAGCACCAGTAGTTTGTTGCTCCAAATTCTGTAATGGCCATTCTTTTAAGTTTCTGTAACTCAAGTGCTATTCCTATTTGTGTTGCTTTTGTTTCAGTGCTTCTCAAGATTTAACAGATTTCATTGGATTGATTGATTTAAAAGTTTCTGTCCTGCTTTCTCATTTAAAATAAATATCAAAGGAAGCTTCTAAATTGTAAAACTGTTTTGTAGCTACTGAAAACTTAAAAATGCAAAGAACATTAGAACAAGGATTGTAAAAAAGCAGTTTAATTTATCAGAAATCAAATCCAGTTTCCAGTGGTGGACAAGGTTATCTGGTTGCTAAAAGATGCTAGTGAGGATGTCAGGCACAAATTGCTGCAGAGGATGTTCCCACAAATAAGAAGCCACAACAAAGAAGATCCTGTTTCTAGTAGAGAGATCCACCAACTCCAAAGAAGGAGGGATGTGGGTCCAGCTTCTGAAAGTGGTCTTCACAGATGGCAGCTGGTCCTTCAGATTAGGAAACCATTCTGTTTTCTGGGTATTTGAAGCACTAGAATATAAAACGAATGCCTTGTCTTTCCTCCTCCCTCTCTTCCATCATCCTTCCTTCTCTGATTTGGGAGGGATAATTATACTCAGTGACAGAACCTGCAAATATCATACTTGGGGGAAGCTGCCTTTGGTTCAGCATATTGTCTCTAGAGGGAGGCTGTATTATAAAGGAATCTGTAGCAGCTTGGTCCAGAATCTGAAATAGGGGGAAGGATAAGATGATCCTGAAATTATGTATACACAGAAAGAGCTCCAGGATGGGACAACAGAGATACTTGGCCTTGTAGCTGGATGCTTGTGTGGTTATGGAAAAGCAGAATGCTGTTCACAGACATTTACCCTCACCATCCTGCAGTGGGGAGAAGAACCAATTATGTTGCTCTTTCTTTTCCACACAGGGAATGTCTATATCCACCCAACAGCTTCAGTGGATGCAACTGCTGTGGTAAGCATAGGGGGTATAATGAGCCTAGCACATGGGTTGGGACCTCGGAGTTGTAGTTTGTTAACTTGGGTACGGTCAGGAGCATAGACACTGTGCATAACTGAACAGGTGGATAAAACAGTGGCCTGCATTCTAGTTCACTAATGCTCTTTCTGCTGCACTGTATATCAGAGGGCCTAGAGTCAAAAAATTAGGAGAACAAACTCCCTGCCAGAAGTGATAAGGGTGGATATACTGGGCCCTAAGGGTTACTTAAAAATAGGGGATATTATTGCCCACCTGATCACAGCCTTGAGGCTGATCTTGAGATGGAGAAGGAAATAAAGGAGGTGTGACTAAAGCAGATAATGTGATATTGGGAGACTTCAACCACCCTCACACTGATTGGGTAAATATGTGCTTGAGTCATGCTGTACAAATGAGATTCTTAGACATCATAAATGACTGTGTGCTGGAGCAGTTGGTCACAGAGACAATCAGAGAGGAAGTGACCAAGATCTGGTGCGAGATGGAGATCTTGTTGCACCAGTTGGAAACAGTGACCACAATGCTATTAAGTACAGCATTCATATAAAGGAATGGGACCCCTAAAGTCCAAAACATTAACATTTGATTGAGGCCATTGGTCTGATCTAACATTGGCTTCTCTTATGTTCTTATGTTATGTAAAAGAGAGAGCTTGACAAAAATGAAAGGGAAACACAAGAGAATCAAATTCCTAGAGGATGCTTGGAAGCTATTTAAAACCATACTACTTGAAGCCCAGATAGAATGCATTCTTCCAGTTAGGAAGTCTAAAAAGAATGCTTCATGGTTAATGACCCAAGTCAAAGTAGCCATAAAGGCTTCTTTTAAAAAATGGAACGTCTGCCCCACTGAATTGAACAGAAGGGACCACTGGATCTGGCAAAAGAAGTGTACGTTAATAATTGGGAATGTGAAAAATGAATTTGAGGACCAGGTTGCTAAAAGCATCAGGATAAACCATAAACGTTTATTTAAATATATCCAGAGCAGGAAACCAACCAGAGAAGCAGTTGGACTTTGGATAACCGAATAAAAGGATTGCTATAAAGGGAGATGGCAAAAAAGCTAAATGAATTCTTTGCATCTGTGTTCATTGGGGGGGGGGGGTGTTACCCATGCCACAGCCACTATTTATGCGAAGGGAGTCTGAAAAACTACGTCAAATTGAAGTGACAAGAGATGAAATTCTAGATCTGTTGGGAAAATGGAAAGCCAGTGGTTCTCCAGGTCACCCGAAAGTTCTTAGGGAGCCTTTCCTGGTGCCTCTCTAGTGTCTCTAGAGGGTGAGCAGGGGCAGGGGGGACTTTTGCCCAGCAGGGCTCCTGATCAACCCTTAGAGATTCAGTTGGCTGTGCAGATTTTCCAAAAGTTTCTTTGGCAGCAGGTGCCACCACAACGCAAGAATCTTCACTGTATGACTGAAAATAAGCTGTGTATATGTAATAAAATATTTTGGCCCTGGTCACACGGGCCGGATATCGCAGGGGGGGGAGGCGTGGCTTATTGCCCCAGTGCAGTTTGATGCGCGATCAGATTCGCTGGTGGCACACCACGGGTCCTTCCCTCGGCGCCGGCAGGTAAACGAGGGACTGGAGGGGAATTCCGTGCTCCGGCGCGATCACACCACGGGGGTCTGGAGGCAGCCTGTGGCAAACGTTTACTAGTACCTTGGAGGTACTAGTTTTTTCACTCGCATTGTCGGCGGTAAGCCACGGGTGTGCTCCACTTCCCAGATGTTGGGGTGTGATCGCACCCAAGTAATCCGCCCACCATCCGTGCCTCTCCCGCGGCAACTTTGCCGTGTGACCGGGGCCTTTAAACAGTATGTTAATTTAAAAGGCATCTTGTTAAACAGAGCTTTTGCCTGAAATAGTTAAAAGTTACTGTTAGTCATGCATGGCGCCACTCCCTGAGATTTTGTGGTTGGCTTCATGTCTTGTGGCAGCCATTTTGTGGTTGCAGCTACCATTCAGTTTCAGAATTCCAAAGGTGCCTTCAGGCTCAAAAAGGGTGGGATGCCTGATCTATGGTATGCTGTCATGGGGAATACTGTCTGCAGGTCTGGTCAGTGTATCTCAAAAAGAACTTTGTAGAGTTGGAAAAAGTACAGGAGGGCAGCCAAAATGATGAAAGGGTTGAGCACTTTTCATTGAGGAAAGGGTGAAGAATCTGGGACTCATCAGTTTTGAAAAGGTGACTTAAGGGGAAACATTGTAAAGGGTTATAAAAGCTTATAGAATATGCACGGGGCAGAAAGAGTGGAAAGAGACACGTTTTTCTTCCTCTCTCAAAATACTAGAACTTGAGGCAATCCAGTGAAGCTTTTGAGCAATAGGTTCAGGATGGACAAAAGGGAAATACTTTACTCAATGGTTAAAAGGTAGTATTTGCTGCCAGAGGAGGTGGTGATGTCCACAGCCATGGATGACGTTAGAGGGGGATTAGACAGATTCATGGGTGATAGGTCTGTGATGAGTAAAGGGAACCTCCACATTCAGAGACAGTAAACATCTGCCAACATCAGGGGAAGCCCTTAGCCATGTTGGCCCTCCAGAGTAACTGCTTGGCTACTGTGTGAAATGCTGTACTATATGGACCACTGATCTGATCCAGCAGGGCTTTTCTCATGTGCTTTCTCTACAGCTGGGTCCCAATGTCTCCATTGGAAAAGGGGTAACAATTGGGGCCGGAGTGCGTGTGCGTGAATCCATCATTCTGCATGGAGCGTCTCTCCAGGTAGGTGCTTCTCTCAGGGGAGTGTTTTGATCTGTGGGTAAAGATCCGTTTTTAGGATAGTAAGTATAGTTTTATTACTCATTTGTTGCTGTAGAGCCAGTCACCTTCCTTCACGCTGTTGCTTCTCTAAGAATTCAAACAGCAATGTTTTGCCCCTGGGAAGTTCATAGAGGAATGGGGAGTTCTTGCCACAGGTACTGAGTCGGGGCTAGCAATACAACTCTGAGAGTGGTTGTAGTTGCATGTAGATTTTAGAAGCTGTTGTCTCTTTCCCAAATAGCAGCCCTAGTGGCTGCAGTTGGGGTGGGGGGCTGAGTGAAAGTATAGTTACGGTGTGCTTCTTCCTGAAGATGAAAACCAGGCAGGGGAGCTTGTAAAAAGGTTTCCCTTGCTCGAAAGCCAGTCGAATCCGACTCTAGGGGGTGGTGCTCATCTCTGTTTCCAAGCCAAAGAGCCAGCGCTGTCCAAAGACTTCTCCGTGGTCATGTGGCTGGCATGACTAAACGCCGAGGCGCACGGGACGCTATTACCTTCCCACTGAGGTGGTACCTGTTTATCTACTTGCAGTTTCTTGCTTTCAAAATGCTAGGTTGGCAGGAGCTGGGGCCAGAGACGGGAGCTCACTCCGTCATGTGGCACTCGGGTCTCAAATTGCCAAGCTAGCTACTGACCTTCCAGTCTGCAACTCAGTGTCTTAACCTCTGAGCCACCATAGCCCCTAGGGGAGCGTGTAGAAAGCTCTAATTGTTTGTTTCATGCCCAGCAGGTGGCACTAGAATACTGTGAAGGTTTTTTTAAAAATGTTCTTATTCAAGGACTTTCAAGCTCAGGGTTAAATGTGCGATTGTATAAAACCCTGAAACAGGCTATAGGTGTGCACTAGAATACTGTGAAGGTTTTTTTAATAAATGTTCCTATTCAAGGACTTTCAAGCTCAGAGTTAAATGTGCGATTGTGTAAAACCCTGAAACAGGCTATAGGTTTTGATGTATGTATGTCAGAAAGTCAGTATGTAAATGTGGCTCAGTTTCTAAGAATGGTGGGACATTTGCAGTTCTGCCATTTAAAAAAATGCAGACACTTAACATTTGGTGAAGGGGGAATGACCGATGTATTTGTTTCCTTAACATATCCCACTTCTAAAAATCTTCCTTTCTGTTAAATAATAATTTGTGTAGCACAATTCTGAGCATATTTACTCCAAAGAAAGTCCTGCTGCACTGAATGGGACTTGCTTCCAATGACTACTTGAAGTGCTCCCCATATGTGGGAATCCTCACCAAACTTTCACTGCAGTCCTAAGCAGAGTTGCCTCCATCTCAGCCCACTGGCCTCGGCCGGCTTAGACCAGTGCAGAGGGATGCCAGCTCTGGTTCGGGGAAGCAGGCCCCGCCTTCCTCAGTTACTGTGGCAGAAAGTCACTGATCACGTGTTGGCTGCTTCATTGATCGATTTCTCCCCACTTTTCTTAGGATCACACCTGTGTGCTTAACAGCATTGTGGGCTGGGATAGCACCATTGGACGATGGGCTCGTGTGGAGGGCACCCCGAGTGACCCCAACCCTAACGACCCCTATGCAAAGATAGACAGTGAGACACTTTTTCGAGATGGCCGCCTCACCCCTTCGATCACCATTCTGGGTAAAGTTCTTCGGTTCCCAATAAGCCCCTTTCCCGTCCGCTCTGTGTCAGACAGACTTTCCTGCCTTTATTGTTTTTTGAATCCTGGTTTCCAGACAGAATTGGAGCGGTCTAATTACCCATCGGCCCTGGGTCCTGGGGTTGGTGACAGAAGCCAGAATGTCCCTCCTCTCTTCTCTGCTGTTACAAGTGCAACTGGCCGTTGGGAGGAACGGGGGAAGCCAGCCTCCCTTCCCTGCCGCTGCGCATTCTTTGCCTGGTAGCTGGGGTTGGGCTCTCTTCCTTTCTGACGTGTTCTGTCTGGGAGGAAGTGGAGGTAACAGTTATGTGGCCTTTGGTGCTGCAGCAAGTAATAGAGCTCTTTGCCACTGCAGCCAGAGTATGCAGCTCTCTAACGAACTACCCTTGTAAGGTGACGTTTTCTCTTTTTTGCTGATGTCTCTCATGTTTCTTCCTCTCCAGGTTGCAATGTGACCATCCCTGCTGAAGTGGTCATCCTGAATTCTATTGTTCTTCCCCACAAGGAGCTCAGTCGGAGCTTCAAGAATCAAATCATTCTCTGAGGGGCCCAGATGTAGCCCCCGGCAGCCCCCAGAAAGAAGGGCAGAGCCCCTCCTGATGAGGTCGCGTGTGATGACATCATCAGCCATGCCCTGTCTTTTTGCCTGGACCTCCTGCTCTGGCGTCTCTAAAGATCTCCCTCTGGGCCTGCTCATGGAGCAGGGGAGGGGAGTTTCTCTCTTGGGCTGCAGGCATTTGGGATGAGTCACCTTCTCTTCATTCTAGAACTGCTGCAAGTTCCACCCGGAAAGAAAGAAGGAAGCCAGCCATGGCCAGTGGCCATAATGCTGCCTCAGAAATGCTGGAGGAACTGGTGGCAAAGGGGTATGGAAGCACCAAAGTTGTAGCCTTCTCTGAGTAGCCAGACCCCTAAGAAACCACAGGGCCTATCTTTTTGCACCCCTGGATCTTAGGGGCACTCAACACACCCAATTCCCACCAGCCACATAGCACCTCTCCTGGTTTCCCAGAGTAGGATGCTGGTAGACCAGAGCCAGTGTAGGGTCAGAGCAGGTGGTGTCGCCCATGTGGCAGAGAGATTGGCAACGCCACAGCATGGGACCCTCTACCCCCCTTTTTGGGGCATTGCTTCAGTAAGGCACTAAACTGGGCTCAAAGGAAGCTGCCAAGCAGATGTGCCGTACTTAGACTACTGGTCAGCCGTTGCCTCCATAGGGTGTCCAGGAAGAGGGCTCCAGCCCGTTGAAGGGTGGGTCTGCCTTCACACAGCTTTTCTTCTGCTGCCGGGTGAGGTTTTGATCTCAAGGCTCCAGTGGATGGTGTAGAAATGTTGGGGGATGAACAGCAGCTGGATGTGACATGCCTTTCTGAAGAAATGTCTTAGCTTTTTGTTCGTTTAGAATAGCTTCCCATGAGGATGGGAGCCTGTGCTCAGTAGGTGCTTTGGGGGTCAGAACCAGGTCTGCAGCATGTGAAAAATATCCCCATCTGCTGTTAGGATGTGAAGGTTTATGCATGTTTCAGCTCTGGGCTGAGAAAGTCCTTTACCATCTGTCTTTTGTATAAAAGGTTGCAGAGATAGTGGTCACAAACAGATTAGGAGATTTTTTCCCCCCTGACATAACTTTTAGAAGCCCCATTAAAGTGGTAAATCCAGTTTTCTTTGCCATCACAATAATGGTTGTGTTCACACTGGCAGTTTGGCCCGATAGAGGCACATTTCACAGATGGATTAAACGGGCAGGATCACACAGCCACATCTTTCAGGCGTTCCCCGGGCGTACTCACCCCGTCAGAGGACGACTTGGAGCGGGGTTAAAAAGCCACCACCTCCGAAGTGGTGTTTTTGTTTCCCCGCACATTCATTGCGCATGGCCGGATGTCTGAACACGGGGGAGCACGTGCAGAACGGATTTCGCAGTGTGAACCTGTAGTTCCGTTCTGCCGCTACGGAGGCGGTTTTTAAAAAGACTTGCCTATGTGTGCATTTGTGTGCATGCACACTACGCGCACACATGGTGTTTGGATTTTTTCTTGCAGTTCACTCCGTGACTGAGGCGCCACAATAATGTGGAGGCTTTACCACAGGATGTCTCCGTGGGTAACCCACGGCAGGGTGTGCTGTGTGCCTGATATATCCCACTACACTTTAACCCGATTCAATTAGAGGCGGCACCATTATCGCACCAAGGCGCCAGTGTGATCACAGCCAATGTCTTCTGTTGTGTGCCAGCTTGGTGTTGCATCTCCAAAATGATAATTGCAGAGCTAATCCAGAGGGAAGCCCATCCTGTATCACAACAACATATTGAGGGCTGCAGTGGATGCCAAGGTTCAAGATATGTCAGTGCCTCAAGACTCAATAATTATTTTACTAAAACATCTGTATCCTGCCTTGCTGCCCAGTCAGGGGCCTCAAGGCAGTGCACAATCAAAAAGACATGAAAAATCAACTTTAAAAACACGTATAAAACAGCAATTAAAACAAACAAGAAGGAGGGTCAGTAAGGGAACATCACCTGAAACAAAAAAAGTCTTCACCCCCCTAGCGGATGTTAATGAGAGAGGGAACAAATGAATCTCCCTAGGGAGCGAATTCCATCGTTTGGGAGCCATGATGACTGAGGAGGCCCTTGCTCAGGTTGCCACCAATGTTCCCTCTAAGCCGTGGAGTCTTGTGAGCAAAAATTCTACTTTGTGAGCTACTGACCTTAAAGTTGTGAGCGAGCGATTTGGCTACTGTAGAAATTAGTTTGCTCTGGAGCCCTCCTTCCCAAGCTAAGACAAATGTGTGAGCCGTAGGCTAAAAAACTGCGAGCTAGCTCACACTAACTCAACTTAGAGGGAACACTGGTTGCCACCTGTCTAGTCTCAAAGCAGCTCCCTTTGCTGGGATCCCAGAGGAGGTTTAGAGCTATGTTTCCTCCCCACTGGGTGGCCTCTTGCATTCTGAGCAATTGGAGCACACGGGTGAACCAACGGCAGCAATGGAGGAAATGGCTGACCTGCAATAAAGCTCCCACACACACAGGCAATTCCTGCAGGTAGTAGAATTCCATTTGAACAGGTCCTGTCACATAAGTGTGATTGCCTTGGCCTTGATATTTAACCCATAAAGGACCTGTTCTCTGGCCAGAGTTCCTTCGTGGGTGCAAAGCAGAATCTTTTCCTCTCTGTGTATCTCCTGCCTTTTATAAGAATGGGGCCTGAGTGAAGACCTTTGCATGTCAGCCTTCGGTTGCTTTGTGTTTGTCCAGGATTCACTTTGCATTGTCTACTTGGCATTAGTTGACTTTTGTTCTTTGTCGCTTTACCAGGGGAATGCAAAGTATACAAAACCAGAGAACCACAGCTCTAGTAACAATAGAGAAGAACAACGAAAGCTGTGTATATCTGCTAAATGATATTAACAAAATCAACAATTACAGTAAATATATTTTATATAATAAGCTATCCAAAGTCATAGACAGGTGCAAGAAAAGGTCCAAACAGTGAGGTTAACGAAGTTTTCTGGATTACAAAGTCGTTTTGTAGTCTTCATCCAAACAGGACCATATATATCTTTTAGAGCTATCAAATAATACATAATTTGCATGAATTACAATTGTACAATGGTACAATTAATACAGTTTGTATTAATTTGTGTATTTTTAATAAATTTTAAAATGTTAATAATAAATTATTCCATTTTAAAGGTTTTTAATTCATTGTATTAAAATCAATAAATACCTACCGATTTTCATTTTTTGCGTGTTGCATAATTCTATAAATAGTCACATGAACTGTGAAAAAATATATTGTACTTCAATACCATAATAAGTTAAAACATTCATCAACATTTATCAAGGTTAAGACATTCACCAATAATTTTCATGTAATTAGATTTATCAGGATCAAAACACTCACCAACAATTTTCATACAGTTAGATACATCTATTTCCAAGGTCAGGCCAACAATACAGTGAGTAGACATACACAAAGGACTTCTACAGCGTGAAGCCTTTTGGATTCATAGGCTTAAAACATATCACCCTTATGGGCTTAACCTAGCTCTGGAACTTTCCTGCTTCTTGTCTGACCTTGGAAATAGGTGTATCTAACTGTATGAAAATTGTTGGTGAGTGTTTTGATCCTGATAAATCTAATTACATGAAAATTATTGGTGAATGTCTTGAGTCCTTGATAAATGTTTTAACTTATGGTATTGAAGTACAATGTATTTTTTCAGAGATCATGTGACTATAGAATTATGTAACGCAAAAAATGAAAATCTGCAGGTATTTATTGATTTTTAATACAATGAATTAAAAACCTTTAAAATGGAATAATTTATTATTAAAAATTTATTTAAAATACATAATACAAACTGTAAATATGGTACACTGCACCATTGTACTTCATGCAAATTATATATTATTTGATAGCTCTAAAAGATATATATGGTCCTGTTGAGATGAAGACTACGAAATGACTTTGTAATCCGGAAAACTTTGTTAACCTCAGTGTTTGGACCTCTTCTTGCACCCGTTTATGATTTTGGATCTTATTATATAAAATATATTTACTGTAATTGTTGATTTTGTTAATATCATTTAGCGGATATACACAGCTTTCGCTGTTCTTCTCTACTGTTAGCAGGGGAATAGCCATTTAACTTACTGGGAAAGTTCCCAGTGGGCTGCTGCCCTGGAGGGCCAGTGGTGGCCGGGAGCAAGTAGAGCGAAGACCCAGTAGCTCTGCTGGTGCCACAGAGACCACTTGGAGGCAACACTGGGTATCAGTTTACCAGTTGCTTCCTCCTGAAGTGTTGCTGGTTGGTAGAGAAGGAAATATTGGGCAAACCAACATACCTTATCGGTACTGCTGGCTGGATCTGAGTGGCCTTTGCAGTGGTGGCTGGAAGGGCCACAGGGCAGCTTTCTTTGGCTTGCTCCTGGCTCATTTTGACCTTTGATCTGCCATATTAAATATGCATTTCAATAACTGGAAAACTCTGGAGTTGCAGGCCTGTGTGTGAATGGATCCTCAGAGGCTATCTTGTTACTGGGTTGTGAGATTAGAGAATATGCGGATTGTTAAGCACTTTCTACATTGGCCAGATTCAGTGCTGACAGTTATTTCATAGACGGATGTAGAAGACCCACCCTTGATCCTGTTTCCTGATATTTATTTCTACGTTTATAGCCTGCCTTTCACACCGAGACTCCAGGAGGATTACACAGTTTAAATCAGTCTAGTCAAATAGCATGATACATCCAATAAGCAGTGCAACAGGACTAAGAACCAGTACAAAAATGCATGGCGAGAAACAATGCAAAACAGGGAATTGCAGAAAACAATGTAGTAACCGCAGGGCAGCATGTATAACAAACAGATAATACTTAAAACAGTGGCATAAACACCATCCTGATTCCCTCTATAAAAGCATCCGCCTGGCTGTTTTGTTGTCCTATGGCCCTGTTCCCTTCATTACAATGCCCTTCCTAACCTCCTCAGGCAGGCCGTTCCCCAAGGTGGGGGTCATCGTAGAGAATGTTATGTCTGAACTACTCTTGACCCTGCCCATTTGCAGGCTGGTGCTTTCAGGAGGCTTTGTTCAGATGAGCCAAGTGGTGGTGGAGGAGCATAGTAGGAGAAATGGCCCTGCAGATGCACGAGGGTCGAAGGCCATGGAAGGCTTTGTAGGTGATAACCTGAATAGAATGTGGTGATTGATAGGTAATCGGTGAAGTGTCTGGAGAACAGGTGTAATAGGCATACTTTGCCAAGCTCCCAATAGTAACTGGACTGCAGCCTTTTGTCTCAGCTGGAGTTTCCAAGTTTGACTTCAAGGGCAGACCCACATATAGAAAGCTTTACAATAGTCCTGAGGTCACTGTGGGATGGATCCTTGTGGCCTGATTGGCCAAGTTAAAGCAGGGAGCCATTGTCTGAGTTAAATGAAGATGGTGAAAAGCATTTTTGTAGCTGGATTAACTTTTGCAGTAATGCTGGGTCCAGTGTAACCCCCTAGGCTCTTAAGCGAGTCAGCAAGAGTCAAACAGAGAGATTGGATTTATACCCTGCCCTTCACTATCCAAAGGCGTCTCAGAGCGGCTCACAAACTCCTTTCCCTCCCCACAACAGACACCACGTGAGGTAGGTGGGTCTGAGAGAACTCTGACAGAAACTGCTCCTTTTCAAGGACAGCTCTTATCAGAACTACGGCTTGCCCAAGGTCACCCAGCAGCTGTGAGTGAAGGAGTGGGGAATCAAACCCGGTTCTCCCAGATTAGAGTCCGTGCACTTAACCACTGCACCCAACTGGCTTAAAGGTGTGTGTCTTAAGAAATCCATGAGAAACAGTGAAGTACAGTCAATAAGGGTATTGGACTGGAAGCCTGGTGAGCAAGGCGCAGACAGCCGCTCAGCAAGAGAAGTATCCAAGGCCAAGTTGTAGACAAGATGCTCCACATGCAGAAGACGAAGAGGAGATTGGATTTATACTCTGCCCTCCACTCGGGAGTCTCAGAGCAGTTTACAAACGCCTCCCCCTCCCCACAACAGATACCCTGTGAGGTAGGTGGGGCAGAGAGAGCTCTTTTGAGAGCTGCTCTTGAGAGAACAGCTCTGACAGAACTATGGCTTGCCCAAGGTCATCCAGCAGCTGCAAGTGGAGGAGTGGGGAATCAAACCCGGTTCTCCCAGACTGGAGTCCGCGCACTTAACCACAACACCAAACTGACCCCTATCGAATGTGGAAAGGACAATGTTCTCCAAGACTTGGCCTTCCCAGCCAGTGTTA